GTGCCTCTCCAAGCCTCCCCACACCAGCTGGAGAACCGGTGCTCAGGAAAGATCAGAGCTTTTAGGCAGGGGAAGCAGGAGCAAGGGCTGGGCTCACCTCAGCCCTGCTGGGTTTCCTGGGGTGCTGCTGGCCCCTGGTGGACACCACCCCATGTCTCAGCTGCCCTGCTTGGGGGAGACACCCTGGGGCTGCTGCTCTGGGAAGGACTGTGGCTGTGCCTGCAGAGGGACAGCCAGGGATGGCAGGGAGCATGTGGTAGAGAACCTGCCCATCACATCCCCCCTGCACATCAGAGTCACCATGAAGGGGACAGTGCCACCACAGGGGACACCTTGCACCACCAGGACATGCTGGTGAGCCAGCACCCGAGCTCTGGGAAGGAGAAAAGGCAGCAGTGGAGGAAGGCAGGGACCCAGCTGGGCACCCTCCTCATTAACTGAAGATTAAAGCAGCTTTTTAAAAACACTGCCTGAAGATCTCTGCTCCCTCCCGCACCAGCACAGCACAGATAATGAAAGAAGGCATACCTGTCGTCCCTGGGGTCCTCCTCCTCCCCAGCGTGGCTACTGCCTCCACCTTCACAGCTGGCTCTGGTGACACTCCGAGCAGATCCCGAGATCCCAGACAAATCTCTCCATCTCCCCTTCACTGCTGCCGTCCTGCTGACGCTCCCATCACACCGGGGCACGCAGCCTCCATGCAGGCTGCCCAGGAGAGTGAGGAGGGAGGCTTGAGCCCAGCTCTGGACAGACCACACACCCCTCTGCAGCCTCGCCAGGCTCAGCCCATCTTCAGTGCTGGCCCAGCACTGCTCTGAGTGTGCCACAGCGAGCTCAGGGTGGGGCTGAGCTCGGCAGCTTCCACAGAACACAGAGCGCCAGTGCCACTGGCCACACAGGGCAGCGTGGCCCCCAGGGTGGGCACCCTGCCAAGGGCATGAGGAGCACTGCTGGTGAGAGATGTCAGCACAGACAGGCAGCCCAGAGAGCCCTGGGGAGGCCCGTCCTGCACAGCAAGCACCACACAGAGACAGAAATGCTGCAGCTCCGGGTAGTCCCGGAGAGGTCAGACCTTCAGCACCTCCTCTCGACTCCCACCTTGCAGAGGGGAGAGAGAAGCACAAGTCAGGCCGGACCTCAGACCTCATCTAGGGCCAACAGCTGATGGCAGCTGCTCCCCAGAGAGAATAACACCCCCCAAAATGCACAGGCACCCCCTTCTTGAGAGGTGGCTGTCAAACATCCCCCTTCTCTCCTCCGACACCACCGGCACCTCTCCGCCTTGCCTGGGAGCACTTACTTGCCATGCTGCCTCACTCGGCCAAGGGGGGCTTCTGCCTACCTGCAGGGAAGAAAACAGGAGAGTCACTGACAGCTTAAATTTCCAACCCAGTCTCAAAGCCCAAGCCTCCACCACGCAGGATCAGATTCATGCAGAAAGCATGGTGCTGAGCAGTGGACCCATGGCAGATCCTAGCCCAGCAGTGCCCCTGCAGAGATCCAAGGATTCCAGTTGCCTCCCTGCTCTTCAGCTGCCTGGAGGGGCTCAGGGCACCCTCAGCTCCCAGAGTGCTGGGGCAGGTCCCAGGGAGAAGCAGGGCCCTTGCACACCAGAGAAGTAGGAAGGGAAAAACTGGATGAAGGATAGACCCCATTTCTCACCAGCAGACGAGATGACCTGCATGTCAGAGACTGCTGGGAGCAGCCTGGTGCTCTTCCCTCCCACAAGAGATTGATGGATACAGGTGAAGCAATCATCTTATTTTAGAGCAACTTCACAGACGTGCCAGTTCTCACTTCTGCAACTCCTACCCACAATCTGGTTGTTGGGCCAAGCTAAGGGCAGCAGCAAGAGTGACAGAGCTCTCTGCACACCCCGGACAACAGCTCTCCAGCTGGACAAGCACCTTTTGTGCTTCAAAAGCAAAACTACACTAAACAAAACTCCACAGAAGTTAAACAAAGCCCTGCAGAAGAAGAGGATATCTGCTTGTTTTCCATGCTTTGTCTTCTCCTGTGCTCAATGCCTCATGGATCTGACTGCCCTGAGCTGACTATTGCTGTGTGTGACACTTGCTGTGGCAAAGCCACAACTCTGTCAGGAGACAGAGGGGACAGGACTGCCCAGCTCCTCCAGGGATTTATTGCAGATGAAGGAGCAAGCATGGTTAGAAACAGCAGGAACTAAACCACACGCTGCTCTCAGGCCCAGGACTTTAGATATCCAGTTATTCCAAAAGCACTTGGACCTGCTCTGCTGGAGTGAGGTGAGGGACAGCACAGAGCTGTTCACAGGGTCAGCAGGGCTGGAAACACACTCCTCCTTTCACATGAAAGGCAGGCACACAGAAGGGCTGATGCTGCACACCAGCACACCTCACAACAGCCACCTTCCAGTAAATGGAGCACCTCTCCCTGCCAACATCAGCTTTGCTGCACTTTCCAAGGCCCCTACACCGTAAAGTGCCAAGAGGGCATGCAAGCCTGGAGCTGCATTTGGAGAGAGAAAGCAGCTTCTTCCCAACAGTTTGGGAAGCTCAGATTGCAAACCTCAGTCTGGAGTTGAAGCAGGAGCAAGGGAAAGCAGCAGAGTACCAGAAGGGAGGGATCTGCTGCCTCCAGTGCCCCACAGCTCAATCCTGCTTCTCTGAGCCCTTCGGGGGGATGTGAGAGGCCTCTGGATCCATGAATTCCCCCACAGGCTCTGAGCAGGGACCACCTGACCCACTTCTGCTGTCATCAGTTTTTACAAAGAGACCCAAAGCCCCAGGATAAAAGAAAGCACAGCACAGCACAGATGCCACAGTTTCCACACAAACCCTCCTTGTTACAGGCACCCTCCCCCTCTGACGGACAGGAGAACAAAGACACAGAAAGAAGGATATTCTCACGTCACACATCAGGCAACAAATTTAATGCTGTTTCATTTAATTTACACTCTTTTACTTTCTTCCATGTATCTGTGTCAGTGCACCCAGCACCACAATCAGGGAGCTGCACACAAGCCTCCAAGCACGAACAATGCCGGTGAGAAGGGCAGACGTCCCAGACGCTTATTTTTATTTCCACATGCAAATTCCTGGCCACCTCCCCTGGCTCCAGCCAGCAGGAAAAGCTGGAGCAGTGCACACGCTGACGCCAAGGGCAGCAGCATCCCTCCTGCCCCCACGCAAGCCGAGAGAAGCCTGAAGCTGGAGGCTGACCTAGCAGACGCCCACCCATTCCCGATCCCCCCCCTCCGGCTTCCCATCCTCTATAAATACCCCATCGATAGGAGGTTGCTAAGGCAACCGTGAGGAGGCGCGAGGGATGCAGCCATGGGAGTGAGGATGCTGCAGTCGCACATTTGTGTCTCCCCCAGGCTCCCCCCATCTCCGCCCCCGCTCCCGTCACTGCTGCCAAAGGAGGAAATCGTGCCGGGAAAACACGGAGCGCGCCTGGAGCCGGCACCCCGCGGACCCCGAGGGGACCCGAGGGTCCACGCTGGGAGGTGGCAGCTCCTCGACAGGCTGGGGGTGGCCCAGGTACGGGTCGGGGGGACCCGCAGCCCCCAGTGACGCGCCACGGCGCGCAGGGAGGATGCTGACTGTGCCAGCATCACGTAGCCGCGGTGCCAGCGGCTCAGCTGGATCCCAGCAATATTGGGGCTTTTCCGTGCCAAGATCCACGGCGAGAAGAAGAGGCTACACCGGCTACGCTTGACAGGGCAGGAAGCCTCGCCCTCCCAGAACAGCCTTCACACCCCACCCTGCTCCCTGGCCGGTGCTCACGCTGCCCGGGCAGTGCCCAGCGCGGCCCCTCTGTGCCCAAACCCAACTCCAAATGATCCCCACTGCGCTCAGCCTCCAGAGCCACCCCACGGCAGGGACCCCCAGCCCATCTGTCACCCTGCAGCAGGGACCCCCAGCCCACCTGCCCAGCTGTGCAGGGGCTTTCCAGCCCCCCCTCAGCCTTCAGAGCCACCCCAAGGCAGAACCCTCAAGCCTAAGTGTCACCCCACAGCCGAGACCCCCAGCTCACCTGTGACCCCACAACAGGGACCCCCAGCTTACCTGCCACCCCAAGGCAGAGCCCCTCTGCCTGTCACCCCACAGCGGGGTCCCCTTCCTCACCTGCCACCCCATAGCGCAGTCCCCTAGCTCACCTGTCACCCTATAACGGGGTCCCCTAGCTCACCTGCCACCCCATAGTGGGGTCCCCTAGCTCACCTGCCACCCTACAACAGAGACTCCCGTGTCACCTGTCACCCCACAGGAGGGTCCCCCACCCCACCTCTCCGGCCGTGCGGGGTCTTTCCAGCCCCACCCTCCGCCCCACCGACACGTCCTCCTCGTCTCCGCTGTTCGCCGCGCGCCCAGACACGCCGCGCCAGTCCCAGGGTTCCCGCTCCCCGCTCCGCGGCACCAGCCCCTTCATCCCCGCTCCAGCCCCGCAGCCGCGGTCCCGCAGCTCCGCTTTCCTGCCCCCGGCCCCGCTGCCGCACCCCGCGCCCCGGCGGTACCTCATGGCGGCCCCGCGCCCGCCGCAGCCGCTCCCTCCCGCCGACGGGCAGGGGAGGGGAGGCCCCGCCCCCGACACGCCCCCTCCCGCCCCTCGGCCAATCGCGTCCCTCCCCGGCCCGCGCGCGCCGCCTTCCTCTTGCAATGGAGATGCAGGGCGGGAGTGTAGGCGGGGCCACATGCTCCTCCCCCTGCTCGGGACGGATCGACAGCCAATCAGAGTGGGCTGCAGCTGCCGGGCGGTGCCGCGGTGGCCGCTGGGAGTCGTAGTCCTGAGCCCCGCCGTGGTCCCGCGGAGCGCGGGCGCGGCCCGGGGGCGGCCCCGGGGGCTGGCCGGCGCTCCGGGCGGGTCTGGCCCCGCTGCCGCACGCAGCGCTGTCTCCCTTCCCCTGCCTGCCTGTTGCCTCACGCCGGCCTGCTGGGGCCGGGGCTGCCAGCATTCCGCGGGTGTCCCGCGGTCACATCCCCTGTCGCCTCCTCCTCTTCATCATCCCTCTCTTCTTCCTCCTCCTCCTCCTCCTCCTCCTCCTCCTCGCTGCTCGAGTCCTCATAAAAGCAGAGGGTGGCCTGCACCGGGAAGTTCTCCAGCAGCTTCTCCCCCACGCTGTACAGGTGGTCAAAGGCCTTGGACTTGGGCCAGAGGAGCCTGTGTGGGGAGAGCCGGGGTGAGCCCCCGCCCGCCGCGCCCGCCCTGCCCGCCCGCGGCCCCGGCCCCGGGACACGTACCTGACCGGGTGCTGGAAGAACGCCAGCGCTTTGCTGGGACCGCCGTCCCCCTCCGCTGCCCGAGCCCGAGCCTGGGGAGACACAGCCGGGTGGCACCGGGTCCCGCTGCCCCTCCCCGCGGGGAGCACGGCTGGCACCGGGGTGCCCCACACCCAGCAACTCCCCCTCCCCTGCCCCTGGGCTGAGCGCTCACAGCACCGCAGGGAAGCTGGCATCTACCCCCACAGCCTCCTGGCAGGCTTTTTGCCAGGGTAATCTCTCCCCCGTGCTCCAGAGCGGGTGCCCAGGCATCCGCTAACGCCCTGAGGAATGCCCGCCCCGCTGGGAACAGGCGGCCCTTTCAGGGCAGCTGTGGCCGGGTCCCCTCGGGGGCTCAGCCTGGCCCGGCCCCAGGCGAGGGGGATGCTCCCGGGGAGGTGGGCACGGCACAGCCGTGGGACACAGGATTCCGTGGGACGGAGTGAGCCTCTGGGCCGAGAGGCTGGTTTTGTGCCAGCAGGGAGCCCACGGGCAGGGCATGGGGACACACACAGTGGGGAGTGCCAAACTCACAGCATCCGTCTCCTCCCGCCGCGGCGTGGGTCCCTCCTGGGCTCGGGGCAGCCACGGTCTCCAGAGAGGAAGGGCTCTAGGAGAGAAAGCAGCTTCAGCCCCACAGCCTCATCCCCCCCAGCTGGCCTTGCCCGAGTGCCAGCACCCTCTGTGCCACCCACGGCCGCTGGCATCAGCGGTGTCCCCAGCACTGCAGCCTTCACCCAAACCCAGCTGGAGCTTCCCCATCCCACCTTCCTCACCCCCCTGCCCGCCCCACTCCCCCCAGTACCTTGCCCCTTGCTCCAGCCCTGGGGGTGGGCAGGCACCGGCCACCGGCACCCGGAGCCCGTGGGCAGTCAGGCAACAGGCAGCAGCTTGCATGGTGGCAGGAGACACTGTCCCTTGTGACACTGCAGACCCTTGGTGGGACACATTTATAGCTCTGCCTCGGCCGTGACTCACAAATTCTTTGGGGCAGGGGAGTGAGGGGTTGGGGCTGTGGGGACAGCGGTGTGAAATTTGTCCCAGTTGTGTAAACAGAGGGCTGGGGGGAGGCTGGGGGCGGAGGGGCTGCGATCTCTGGTGGAAAAGCAAAACACAAAAGGGAAAATTTGGACACCATTTGTGAGAAAATCCCCGGGGGGGAACAGGGGAGGGTAGAGACAATTAACAAGGATGATTAAGTGCTCTCTGTAGCCATTTGCATAAGGGAAGCAGGGGAGATGGGAAAGGAATGGGAAATGGTGAGGCAGCATGATGGGCATGGGATTGGGACAGTGCAATGGGCATGAGATGGGACTGCGTGTTGGGCATGCCACGGGCACAGTGTGGTGGGCTTGTGTTGGGGACAGCACAAAGGGCATGACGAGGACATTGATGGGCTACAGTGGTGGCAAGCACAGAGCCACCAGGAGGCAGCTGATGGCTCGAGAGAGGCTCAAGAGCAGACAGGGAGGGAGGACATGTGGCAGGGATGGATCTCGGGCACTATCAGGGCAATGGTCTTGCTCAGGCACCCATGGCCCATCACCCCAGGGAGCTGCCAGATCCCACTTCCACAGATGGCAGAGCAAGCACTTGCCCTCTGCAGTGTTCCCTGCCCTCTCCTTTGAGTTTTTGAGATGTGGACCGCAGCAGGAGGGACAGAAAAGCTCCTCAGTGTGAGAGTGCAAGGCGCCAGCAGGGCAACTCATCCTGTCCCTGCCCACTGCTCCTGCCCAAGCACTTGAAGAAAAGTGCCACTGGCAAACTGGTCACCTCCTGCTCCTGGGAGAGTTTCAGTTTGGGACAAGGAAAGAAAATAGCAAATGGTCCCTGCTGTAGCTCTGCTATCAGCATCCAAACACTGCTGTCCAAACGCTGGCCGGACCCTGCTCAGCTCCCAGCACAATTTGTCACCAGAGGCCCTCCCTGCCCCTCTCCATCTGTGGCAGCCGGTGAGCAGGAGGGGGCACAGGGCCAGCTCAGCTCTCATTACCTTCCCCATTTGCTCCTCATTTGGGCCAGTAGTCTTACAACAACAAACCCCGTGGAGGACAAGCAGGGCCAGGAAGAGTAAACCAAAAGTTCAGGCTGGCTCTGAGGAGTGGGGAGCTCAACCTGCTGGTGTTTCACTGCCCCTCGAACCCCAATACAGGCAGCACAGCCCAGAGTGGACACATGGATGGTGCCACAGTCACCTGCCAGCCACTAAGGAAGTCCAGAAGGATGACAAGAAGCCTCAAACCTGAACACATTAGGTGAACCTACTCCAATAATTCATAGACAACCAGCAAAGCGAGGCATCCCAGCTCCCCAATCCTTCCCGACACCCAAAGGGTTTAATTCTGATCTGCAATAAGCCTCTGATCCAGGAGATTTGCAGGTGGATTGTGCAAAGCTGTAGCTGAACAACTGCAGCCCCTGATCCCCTGGACTGGGGCCCTGGCTGCTCACCCTGCCCCGAGCAGCTGCCTCCAGTCCTGGGTGCCCCCCGGCTGCAGCTACCCTGGGTCCCACCCTGCACCTCCAGCCACCTCCGTAAGTACCTCAGAGCTCCCTCTCTCACCTTCCTGCTGGCACCCTGAGCACCCTGAGCACCCCAGGTGTTTCTTTTCCAGCAGCTGAGACAGTGTGGGAGGTCTTGGTGAGAGCACAGAAGAGCAGACAGAAATCTGGGAAACTTCGGTGCCAAGCATTTGAGGTGGCAGCGGGGGGACAGGAGCAGGGGCAGGCTCTGGGTGGTGGCAGCACGCTCAGCCAGGAGCGTTCCCAGGGTGAGGGAGGCCACTGGCCGCCGTGCCGGGCTCAGCCCGGTTTCGCAAGGCACCACAGAAGGAGGAATTTTTAAACAAAGCAGAGGGAAAACAAACCAACCCTCTCCACCACCTCTGCCAACCTCTCCCCGCTTGTGTACAGGGCTGTGGGCGGGAGGTTGCACCGGCACAAAATCCCAGCATGAGCTGCACCCCGAACTGCTCACCCTTCCTCAGGACAGGTCACCCTGCTTGGCTGGCATGCTTCACAAAGCATCGCAAAAGAGGTGCCAGCCCTGATGTAATTCTGCCCTCTGTGCGCCTCCAGGCTCTCCTGGGGATGCAGGTGTCACTGTCACATGCATCCCTCTCCATCCTTGTCCTCAGCAGCACAGAAGGGCTGATATCCTTGGTTCAATCTCAGGTGGCCATGTCCCTTTGTCCCAAAGGAGCCTCAGCAGCTCGGGGTGGGTCGTGGGTGACTGCAGATGCCTTGGGTGAGCTCCACGCAGATGGTACAAGGAGCTCCACGCAGATGGTACGAGGTGCCATCTCTTTTCCTCAGCTGGGGGAGCTTTGGCTTCAGCACCTGAAGTCACCTCCAGCAGGTCCCAAATAAGATGGTGCAACCATAGCTTTTTGGCTGCCTCAGCTCGAGGCATCACAGAAGACAGGAACCTCGAGGAAGGCAGTGGGCACTTTCCCCAGAGCAGCAGCTGGCTCTCCATCCCTGCCCACGGCGTCAGTGCAGGGGAGGGTTTGGCGTCCTTCCTGGGCAGCGCTGCTCTGCTCCGGAGCCTGCCTGGGGAGATAGCGGAGGTGAAAGGGCGCCTGGCGCTCCTCCACGGGCTTGGGTCAATCGTTAATCGGGGAGGGATTGCTTTCCGCTCTCGCAGGTAACCTCCCCGGGGCTCCCACCCCGCACAAAACCAGCACCCCCGGCAGCGGGGTGGAGCTGCAGCGCTGCGAGCGGAGCCTCTCGCAGGGCCATGGGAACGTGAGCACACGGGAGGGACCTGGGTGACAAGCTGCGAGCCTTGGCTAGCGACAGAGGTGACAGCCAGCCCTCACCATGGTGTCCATGGGGCTCCAGCTGCTGGGCTACACCGTGGCCTTCCTGGGCTACATCGGCACGCTGACGGCCACGCTGCTGCCCAGCTGGAAAACCAGCTCCTACATCGGCTCCAGCATCGTGACAGCCGTCAGCTTCACCAAGGGGCTGTGGATGGAGTGCGCCACGTACAGCACGGGCATCACCCAGTGCGACATCTACAGCTCCCTTCTCAACCTGCCCGCCGACGTCCAGGCGGCCCAAGCCCTCATGGTGAGCTCCTGCGCCGTGTCCTCCCTGGCCTGCCTGCTCTCTGTCCTGGGCATGAGGTGCACCGTCTTCAGCCAGGGCTCGCCGGGCAAGGACCGAGTGGCGGTGGCGGGCGGCGCTGTCTTCGTCCTCGGTGGGCTGCTGTGCTTCATCCCGCTGGTGTGGAACATCCACGTGGTGCTGCGGGATTTCCGCAACCCCGTCATCCCCGACAGCATGAAGTTCGAGCTGGGGGAGGCTCTTTACCTCGGCATCGTCTCCTCCCTCCTCCTCCTCGTCGGCGGCTTCATCCTCTGCACCTCCTGCCCTGCCCGGGACACCACGACCGCCTACACCAGCGCCTACCAGCCCCAGCTGCTGGCGAGCAAGAGCCCCCAGCCCTCTGTCAGCCAGGTGCAGAAGACCAAGAGCGAAGTCAATTCCTACAACCTGACGGGATACGTGTAGTGGCTGCAGGGGGGAACCAGGCTGGCACCTCTCCTGGCTCCCCAGAGCGTCCGGGCTGGCACCAAGGGAGCGCGGTAAGAGCAGAGGGCACGGCGGCATCGCCCTCTCATCTGCTTGGGGTGGGGGGGTTTGGCCCCGCTCTCTCCCTGGGAATCTGAGAGCCTTGTGACTGCTCGGAGATCCCAGCTGGTGGCTCACACTGCTGAAGGACCCTGAATCCGGCTTCTGTTCTTTACTCCGTGCTGCCAGCTCGCAGGCAGCTCCTGGCACGGCGGGACCCCAGCCTGCAGCCCCAGTGAACCTACCTGGAAAGGGGAGTGGGCTTGTGGCCCCAGGGACCGGCCCGCTGGCCACGGAGGCATCGCGGCAGGGTCAAGGGCATATGCGTGGTCTGGAGTCGCTGCTGGGGGCGGGGGGTGAGTGCTGTTTGCAAACCGATGTCGCAATAAATCAGTCTTTCTAGCCACACTGTATCCGAGCTTTTCTCTGGCACCGAGGGGCCGTCAGGGGGCTGTGGAGGGGGCCAAGATGTGAAAGGTGCCCCTGGCCCTTGCTCTGGCCTGCCTCCCCCACCCCACCGCTGATGGCTTTGTCACCCGGGAGCCCCGGCAGGTGGGAGCACTGCTGAGGGGGAGGAGGGCCACTCCCTGGCACAGTTTGTCCCTGGGCACCACGCTGGGAGGTTGCCATGCACCACTAGTGCCAGGGTGCCAGCAGGGACATGCAGAGCTCCCTGTGGGATAATAGCAGGTAGCACCTTCCCTCTGTCCCCCTAGCCCTTCTTGCTTCTAGGAGTGCAGGTGTGATGAGACTGGGGTGCCTACAGGAGGGCTCATTGCCCCTGTGTGTGGCACACCCAAGTCCCCAGGTGGTGGGCAGCCCTGGCATTCTCACATCCCCATCCCAGTGAGCACTGGCACTCCTGGGCAAATAATGGTCCCAAGGACCAGGGGCAGCTTCTGCCTGTGGTGGAATCTGAGCAGCCCAGCTCAGCTACAGAGAGGCCTCACAGGCAGGTCCTGAGCCCCGAGGTCCTTGAAGGGTCTGTTTTTGGAGAAAGTGCCACCAGTGAGACACTGGAAAGCTGCAAGGGATGGGCAGGCAGGAGCCAAGCTTGTGCAGGGACAGGCTGTGTGGCTGCAGCCCTGCACAGGAACAGCAGCAGGACATCCACACAGGCTGCTGGTGGCACTGGGGGATGCTGGCACATGCCAGGCCATGGCAGGAGAGGAGGTGCAGGCAGCCCAGCCCCACTGCCCACCAACAAGCAGCAACATTTTAGTCCATCTGCTGTACCACTGTCCCAGGTGAGAGAACCCCTGCTCTGCTGTGCCACAGCACAGGGCCACCCAGAGACCACCCCAGGGAGCAGGAGACCTTGGTCTACCTGCTGACCCCTTGTAAAGCAATTTAGATTAGGCCATGGAGAGGAAGGGACTGTGTTCCCCACTCAAACGTCACCACCGTCACCCTTGCCCCAGTGAAATCATGTTTGCTGTGGGGTTAGCACGCTCCTGATAACGATGGGTCACGCTTTCTCCCCTCCTCAGAGAGCAAGGAGCTACACAGGGACCCATCCCCAGGGTGACACTCGCTGAAGGGAACCAAGGTGGATCTCCAGGCATAGGCCAGTGACCCCATTTCCGTGGCCAAGGGATAAAGCACAAAGCACAGAGTCAATCCTGGACCAGCTGACTTATTTATTCCTGCCCTGGCGAAAAGAGTGTCCTGGGGCATGCAAGAGGCTTAACCTGCTGGTGCAGCCCCCCAGGAGATGCTGCAAGTTCTGAGGATCCTTTGGCCATAAATGCTTTTGGTTTTTTGTTTTTTTGTTTTGTTTTTTTTTTCTGGGCAGCTAAAATAAAGAGTGGGAGAGAAAATAGTTGGCACAAAACGTCACACCTTAAAGAGGAGGAATTCCTGGGCACTGGGTCCTTGCCCCTTGCCTCCCACTCCTGTCTGCGAGCAGAGACTGTGCTAATTAAACAAAGGGGCATTTGAAATGCTCAGATCTTGATTAATGCTGGGCTTATTAATGCTTTAATTCAAGGAGCAGAAGGGAAGCTTCCCCCAGAAGGAGAAAGGCAGCTGGCACAGGCAGAGGCAGGCAGAGCTCAGAGCTGGGGTACAGAAACACCATCACACTGGAACAGGGACCAGTTCCCCAGGCCCCTGGGCCACCAGCCCTGCCACAGGGAAGCCCCTGCATTAAGCAGTGGGTGAGTTCAGGGAGGGGGACATTTCTCCCCTCCAGCTTCCCTGGCCTTCAATGTGAATGAACTCAACAAAGTGAAACCTGGCTACGGGGCAAGGCAGGTTGACACAGATTTTCCACTTGGGAAGGAGGATGGGAAGGGAGGGGAGGACACTGGGTGCACAGCTGTGATGGCAATGGTTATCTCTGCATCACGCAATAGCCATGCTCCTCATTATTGATAAAGCAGGTTCTTGAGGGCAGCCTGGATGTCACCCAGCCTAGGGACAGGGAGAACAGGAGCCCAGACTGCCCCAGGGGCAGCTCTGCTGATGGTGAGCGTGAGTGAAGGGATGGAGCCCAGCCAGCCAGCACAGAGCCAGCCCCTCAAAGGCTCTTGCCCCTCACCAGCTCAGTGGCAAAAGCTGAGGGTGCTCCAGGATTCCCTGCAAGAAAAGCACAGGGGAGCAAGTTCAGGACACAATGGGGGAAGCAGGGGTGGGCAGAGGGCTGAGTGGGGAAGGGCTCTCTCCATCTCAAGCCCCCACCTCACAGCCAGTGTGGTGGAGTGGGGAGCCTTGCAGCCCTCACTGGAGGGCCAGGCTGCAGTGACTAATCCCCTGCCATAAGGAAATGAGTCCTTCCCCTCTCCTCTTTCCCCTCTGCATGATGCCTCGATGGAAGGAACAGGGCAATAAAATAATGTGCCCTTATCTTCAAAAGTGATAGAGGCATTATAAACACTCAGTACACCCCAACCCGGGATCAGGGACTGCAACCTCACCAGCTGGTCATGAGAAATGTGCAGAAAGTCACAACTTCTTCCAAAGAGGAAGCAACACAGCCCATCTCCAAGGGCCCTGCATCCAGCCCTTGCCCACCAAGCACTGCCCCAGGTGCAAGCAGAGCCTCTTCTCATGCAGAGCACTGGGCAGGGATGCCCAGGTGAAAAAGGGCACAAGTTTGCCCTAGACCCACCAGGATCACACACCTCCTGCCTCCCTGGAGCCCTCCAGGCAAGCAGAGCTCCTTCTGGCATTCCCAACCCGCTGCTCGTCTCTGCCTAGCACAGCTGACCTGAAGCAGCAGCAAATAATCCATGCAAGCTCTCTGGGGAATATCAGGCCACGTGCTGGGAGGGCCCATCTCTGCCCACAGCCCCCAGGAATTGCTCAGATAGGAGAGATGGGAGGGGAAAGGAGGTTCAGGCCAGGTTCCTGAAGGGCTGAGGTACTTGGAAAGGACCAGCACATTCCTCCACCCTCTCCCCAGCCACAGCACACTCCCAGCTGCCTCCCACACTGTGTCAGAGCCTCCTGGCCCCTCAGCAAGCCAGGGCTGATATGGAAGATCGCCCATGGCTGTGCAGCAGCCTTTTCAGGAGCAGCAGATGATACACAACCAAAAGGGACTGCTCCAAACACCCCAAATCCTGACTGCCAGGCTGGGCTCAAGTCACACACTGGCAGGAATGGGAGAGGCATTCCCTGCCCCAGCCCTGCCCCTGAGCCCAGGAAAGAGCCTCATGGATTCACCGCTGGGTGTCTGTGGTGCTCAGCTGGCAATTGCACTCACATTTCACTCCAAAGGCTGCCTGCCCTCCTGGAGCCGAGGGGGTGGCCCTGTCTGGAGTCAGGGCAGACAACACAGGCTGTTGGTGCCCAGCTCTTCTGGTCCTCTTGGGAGACCTTGCACTGGAGGTGAGGAACAACCTCCTCTTTGGAGAACACCTTCCATCAGGGAAAAAAGGTGCAGAAACTCATGGCTGTCCACAGCCTCCCAGGTGAGACCTGTTTAAAGGCACATTAAAGGATCTTTCGGTCTTGAAGGAAGATATGAGGGCAGAATGAACTCCATGACACTGCAGGGGACAGAGGCCTTTGGGTGCACCGAAGGAGATTGCTAGAAAGCACCTTCCTGTTTGAACAACAGCTCAGAAATCTATCAGGAGGGTTATAAAAGGTGTTTATCTCAGAAAAGCTGATATCCATGGAGAGAACACGGAGGTTTGATCTTCCAGGTGTTGCATTAACATCACAATCAGATTGTTCCATAATAATTGGAGTCTAATCTCTACTGGAGGAGCTTCAGGTGAGTGATCTCAGCAAGCCTCATGTACCTGCAATCTGTAGCAGCAAAAAAGGGCTTTCTAGTAGAACCCACACCAGTTCAGTGAGCAAGGCATACTTCTATAGTGGTACAAACATAAGGTCTTCCACAGATTTTACAGAAGTATTGGGAAAAACATACTCCATCTCCAAAATCTGCCAAAATCTGCTTTGGAGAACTGGTGTAGAGAATTGCAGATAAGTTGTGATGGTTCCACAGCACCACGCTGGACAGAAGAGAGGAAGACCAGCGGATCCCAAACACATTTACATGGACAAACAGAGCTGCAACCCCCTTAGCAAGTCTAGAGAGTCATCCCAAGCAATCCCTGCCATCTGTCACCTCCGTGCCTGAGGGCACCAGCATTTTGGCAGCTGCTAACAAAGGTTCATACCGAGAAGATGCTCAGACCCCAGGCACAGCTGAGCCCCTCCATGCTCCCTTCTAAGCATCACGAGTCTGGAAGAAACAGATCTCCCCATATGCAGAGAAACCAGTCAGCTTTGGGGCTGCCTTTTATCTCTACTCAGCATTTCAGAGTGTGCTTTGAATGAAGTTTTTTCCCACACTGGCAAGCTAGTCTTTCCCCAAGTCAGGTGTCTTTTTTCACAGAACTTACAACACCCTCTGTTTCTGGGATGTCCAGCCTGCTAAAAAGGGCTGAAAGCAGAACAAGACTCACGTCAGAAGCAGCATGATTGCCTCAAACTCGCTTTCCCAGAAAAGCTGTCTCTCTAGGTTTCTCAGGTCACTGGAGCAAAGTCCCACAGCACCAGCTCTACCTGGCAGGTGCTCCCAAGATTTCTCCAACAGATGCATTTTCATTACCCACATTTTTAGCTCTTTCCTTTTGAGGCGGTGGGCACAGTTTCAGCCTTCGTATTTTTTGGGGCATAGAAAAGCTCAGAGACTCTGCAGGCAGAGCTAAGGGCTAACCTCAGCTATCCCTGGATGCACCACTGTGATGCTGGCATGCCCTTTGAACAATTCCAGTACACTTTTACAGGAATGAGGGCACTGCTCTTTGTCTCTGGTTCTTTCCCACTGCCACAGAATCCAGGCACACATCTCACCAACCACTGGAGCCTCTGATCT